ACATCCGCAAAGTTTCAGTAGAATGCAGAAAGAATCCACACACTCCCACAACTTTATATTTCAGTGGACAGTATTTTCTGTGAGCATCTAACCAAGAGTAAAGATTCTGAAACTTACAAAGAAGATAAATATCACAACTACTTTAAGTCTAAAACAGCTTAATCCAGTGTTTGCAGGATATGGCTAAACCACAGGGGCTCATGGGCCATCATCTACTAGGTAAATCTCATTTATATACAAGAATTAAGCTCTAATCACAGGTGCTGTACTCTGAACTGCAAAGATATATATATATATATATATATATATATACACATATATAACTCATCTCTCTCCTTCACATCAAGGAAGCCCATGAAGTTTCAAAGCAAAGGTGGGGAACCTTTATCTTTTACAAGAAAAAGCAGAAATTCCAAGTCACAAAAGTTTTTAGTAGTTTTCCAGACTTACTGGGAAAAGGAACATTCATGTCTGCATGCAACATTTCAATGAGTTGTGCCGTCTTAGATCCAGGTGCAGCACACATATCTAGAATCTACAAACACCAGAAAGTTAAAAAAAGTCCTGGTTTGTATTTTTCAAGTACTCGAGAAATTTACTATGTGTTCTTGTTTAAACTAAGTATTTTTGCACATAGAGAACTGATTGTTCTGAACACCAATTTGAAAACAAAGTACAGTCCTGATCTTTGTATGTTTTACCTTTGAGAGTCTAAAATATAAAAAGGACTTTACATTGTAGGGAACAAATACATCAGATGAAATAGAATTTGAAAGACGAACCTGAACAAAGATATAGGGGTATGGTCCTTTTACTAGCAATTCCAACTGAAGTTAACTGGCACTTTACATATACACACACATATTGAGAGCAAAGTTACAATCAAGAGCAAGTAGTACTCTTCTTTAAACTATTAGTAAATCAATCAGAGACAGCTGATTATATAGATTTTATAAAAATGAGTTGCTATCCCTCCCCACACATTTGCATTTTAATGCAAAAAATCAAGGCAGCATAATCTCTTGTTTCTCTTTCTTGAAGAAGCACTTGAGAAGTTTTTTAACTGCCCTGAGGCAGCTGAACAGAACAGCACCAACATCAACAGACATGAACACCTAAATTCTAGTGTATTGCTCCTTCCTGGTTCATCAGGAACTTGGCTTGTGATCAAGTCATTTGTAGTCACTTTCACAGCAAATCAATTGATATTTAATACTGTTCTCTTAAGTAAGGAAGCTTAGAGTCTTTCCTCTTGCCTAGTTACAGATTTTCAGAAACACATGTCTATCTCCCGGATCTTTGGCTCTGTTAAAAATTAGATGAAATCATGCAACAGGATAAAGGATGGGAAGGGATCTGCTCAGATCCTCATGCAAGACCCTGGCATGAACAAGACTAAACTAGAAGACAGCCCCCAGAGAAAAGCAAAGAGAGCTCCAAAGAGCACATGGTAAAGTGCTAACACATCATGAAACGCACTCAGTACAACGACATCATACGTGCCCTTTAAAGTAACAGTTGTGATGCTAGTGTTTTCTAGTTTTGCAGGTAATATGCAAAGATAATGAAGAATATACAAGGTTAAACGTGCTCTAAAACTTGCCACCAAAATGATGGTGAGGAAAACTAAATTGTGAAAAATAGATTTAAAATGAACACATGTATGGAGAGGCTTGACAGTCACTAAGTTGATCCTTGTACAACATGGAATCAGCACGTAAGACATGATGTACAGAACATGCTGGTTAAGTATGAAAAGTAACCTGCAGTTCTGGTCATAACAAGCAGCTCAGAAGCTAAGACACTAAGGACCAGAAAAAGTCCTAAATGACAAGAGTTGCTGTCATTGTTACAGCAGTTATTTGCTGTCTTGGCACAAGACAGGATAAAGAATCTATTCTAAGCCTGACTTATGAGCAAATCTGTGAAATCTTACGCTCATTTCTGGAAAATGCCTGCTGAAATACAGTCACCCAAGTTAAATATTCAATGTAAAATCCGTATACTGCTGGCTTAGAATATACAATGTGTGTGCAAAAATACTCCCACAGTTTGTGTTTTACATAAAGTTGAACATGTTCACTACCTGTTCAACTCCAGACAAAACTGAAAATGCACCTGTGACACATCAGGACTGAGTCTTTCAATTCATTATTCACTTAAGAGAGATGAGAAGACCTTGACTCACATCAGTCCTGTGACATACATTGGGTTGGGGTGAAAGCAAAAGATAAGATGAAACACTACATATGCTAGGTAACGTTAATATAAAAACAAGTAGTTACAAACTAGGCTTTAAAACATGTCGGAAGTTTGAAAAACTTAAAATTTTAAGATATGTCATGAAAATTTAAGAAAGAACACAACATGACTGCTTAAGGTAACAAGGCAACTAATTTAACTAATCAAGAGATTAGTTAACTAATTTAAGAGATCAAGAGAATAAGGCCACCTGACAGATTTAGTCTGCAAGCAAGCATAAAGTATGAAAACATCACAGAAGTCAGAATAGAAAGTTTGCTACCAGATATCCCCATTCCTACAGTCTGCTATTGGAAAATATCATGGGCATTCCTTAGACAGCTCCGTTAAAGTTAGCACCCTATAGTGTTCAGCCATCACCAGTACTGTGTTTCAATTCACCCAAATTATTTTGCCTAACACATTTATAGAGCAGAAATTTGCAACTTCTTCAAAAGGCATAGAGGAGTGAAATCTCTCTGGTAGAGAACATTATCATTTGAATCTGGAAAATTACATCTGGTTCACAGTGTGATGGAGAGCAGGAAGTTAAAAACAGTCATCTTACTTTAAAAGCACATTGAAACATGAATATGTAACTCAAATGCAGCTGAACACATTTACACTTTGAAAATAAGACTATGCAACTACTTAAAACCTAAGTGTTTCTTACAGGGTAGTACATACAGCTGAAAAAGCAGATGTTCACTGTGTTTGTGATATGAACACTAGTTGAGTGTTGCTGTTGATGTGCAGAAAGCCTAAAACACACCAACACAAAACAGAACTGTGTATCAGCATTGATACTGCTGTTGTGATGTGTAGTTTAATCAAACTAACTTCAGGGAAAAAGCTTTAGTACACATTATATTCTAGTTACCTTATGATGAGGGCTAACGTTAAGCAGCAGAGGTGGGATCATACTAACAGCCTCCTGACGACTGATATTTCCCTTGAAAGGAAAAAAGAAATTAAATCTGTTTTTATTCACAAAACAATGCATTTATTTTGCAATAAAATTTTTAAATCACTATGTAGTAAAATAAGAAAGCAGTCAGAAACACACTACTATAAATCTAGGTTTAAATTTTGCTAGAATTTAACAAAAAAAGCAATCACAGTATTCACACAAGTGTATTTTCTGATAATTGCATATTTACTCCAATTGTATTAATTCTACAGATGTAGTTTCTGCTCAAAAGAGATGAGAAACTGGCTTCAACCAAGTGACAAACTCCCATCGCTTAAGCTAAGTCTTGTCATGCACACACATGCACTTTTTACCAGATTTAAACATCTGGTTTCTAACAGCAACTAATTATTTTACAGAGACTTGTTTTAGCATCGCCAAACAAACACAAAAAAACTGCAATTAGTTTAGGAAAAATATGTGTAGCTGCAGTTATGCACCAGAGTTGTGGGATGAATCACAGTCAACAGCAACATAAAATCCAGATTCTTCTGAGTTATTCAACTTTTGAGAGAAAAGGTAAAGTCTCACTCTCTCATAATGTAATTCAATAAAGCACTGCTCAGGACATGAAAGAAAAAAATCAAGATCTATCCGAAACTTACACACTCTGTCTCGCTAACCAGAAATTGATGAAACTTTTCCAGTTGTGGGGACTTGCGTAAGATTTTTCTACTCAAGTTAGTGTGCCAGGCTAACTCTTCCGGATACCTGGTGGAAAAGAGACAGGAAAAGGGCAGAAGCAGAATAAAGAGAGCAACACACTAGGCTGGATGTCAGGGAGGGTGCCTTAACTCGCCTCCAGACCACTCACCAGCTCAGCGACTGTGGCATCTCGACTTTTTGACCATCTACCTCCAGGTTCTGCAGCTCCCTGAAGTATTTTTCCTTCAAGCAGTGGAGAATCTCTTTGGCATGGCTGCATGCGACAGACGTGCAGAGGGACAGCGGATGGAGAACCACAGAACCACGGGATGGTTTACATTGGAAGGGACCCTAAGGATCACCTAGTTCCAGCCCCCCTGCGGCGGGCAGGGACGCGTCCCAGTGGAGCAGCTGGCTCAGGCACCCCTTCTCCCGGACAGCATCCCGCCCCCGCGGTGCCCGGGGCAGGTCCCCAGGGCAGCAGCCCCAGCCCTACCTGCGGTAGCCCGTGATGCGCAGCGTGGCGGGCAGCGGCTCCCGCAGCGCCGCCATGAACGCGTCCCATTCGCCGGCGGGCACGATGCCCAGCTCCTGGTAGTACCGCTCGAACAGCTCGTTCTCCTTCACGATCTCGGGGTAGCCGCCGGCCCAGCCCTGAAGGAACACGCCGCCGCCGTTAGCCCGCCGGTCCCGCCGCTCCCCGTCCGCCGCTCTTCACCCCGCCCCGCCTCGGCCCGGCTCTCACCGCCTGGTCCCCGGCGCCGCCGCCGCCCCGCTCCTGCCGCTGCTGCTGCTGCTGCCGCCGGCGGTCCCGCGCTCGCCGGCCCATGGCGGCCAGGCGGCGGCCGAGCCGCGACACTAGCCCTGCCGTGGGGAAGGAAGGGTGGCCACGGCCACGGCCGCTCCCGCTCCGCTCCCGTTGGGCCGGAAGGACCGCGCAGCTGCCGCGCGCCACGTGCTCCCGCCACTGGCGCGCACGCGCGGACACGCCCACTCATTCCTGGAGCCGCTTCCCGGCGGAACTTCCCGAGAACCCGAGCGCGCGCCCCACCCCGCCCCGCCCACTAACGGGCGGGCGGCTCTGGCCACGCCCCCCGACGCCGATTGGTCCGTGGTGCGCGGTGGGCGGGGCGCCGGGCGGGTGATGAGTAGGGGCGGCGGGGGGCGATGGGGCTCGGTGTCGGTGGAGTTGGTGATGGCGGAGTGCGCGGGCTGCCATGGTGTTTGCGGCTTCTGGAAAAGGGTAGAGGGCCCCGAGGAGCGGCGGCTGCTGGAGCTCTTCTCCTATGGGCTGATGGCGCTGGGTGCTGGCTCTGCCCTGCTGCTCTGTTTCATCCCTATGCCCTACGGCCGGTACTCCACGCGGCGCTTCGGCTCGCTGCTGCCCGCCCGCGTTGCCTGGGCGCTGCAGGAGCTGCCCTCCCTCCTCGTCCCGATCGGGCTCGCCGCCTGCGGTGGGGAGGCCATCGCCGCCCCGGCTAACCGTGTCCTGCTGGGCTGCTTCGTCCTCCACTACGCGCACAGGTGCGGGCGGGGCGAGGGCACCGCCGGGGCGTCTGGGGGGGGCTCCTTGGCAGCGCTGCCGGGGCGGGAGAAGAGGTCAGTCTTCATAGAAACGCCTGGCTGCTGCCTCCAGACCGAAGGGGTTGAGGTGCTCCAGTTAATTAGCTCTTGTTATTTAATATCACAATCACTGACGTCTTTCGGGCTTCGCTGCGTTAGGATGTTGTGCGTTGTTGCGGGAGCTGGGCGCGGAGCCGTGGCGGAGCGGTGCTGGCTGCCGTGTGTCGCTGTGCGAGGCGGTGCTCGGGCGTGCAAACGCGATGTTCGATGCTCCCTCGGCTGCTGCTCCATCCCTGCGCTGCAGCTGTACCTCGGGTGGCGACCCCCGTGTCAGCAAGGGCTTGATCAGACTGCCTGAAGGGACCTAGTGTTGAAAACAAGGGAAGTTCAGCACTCTGTACTCATATAATTTTAATGCTGTGAGACAGTGGCTATTTTCAGTTATGTTTCTTAACACGGTCTTTCAACATAGTGTTCGTTGAAGGAGTTGGACTGGATGAGGGTTTTCTCCAGCTCAAGATATTCAATGATTCATTAAAATACTAGCAAATCCTAGGCCCAGTGCTCCATGTTGCCCTGTAGTCAACTTGGGTATTTAGTAAAACTTCTTGGAGAAGGCAGCTTAGCTGGAGCTCGGGTAAGATTTTGCCGTTCTCTTCAAGTTACGGACAGTGTCTACTGGTCATACTCTACGAGCAATTTTGCAACATTACTAATACAGGAGCAATAGATTTGTCAGGTTATGTTAAGCTCCATATGTGGCTGATACACTGTTGTTTTCTGGTGCTGAATGAGAGAGGTTGGTGCTTTTGACTGAAAGTATTTCACATCCTCACAACAGAGAAGGATGCAACGTGATTGGCCTGGTGGCTGGTTTTGAAAACCCAGGACTGTGTCTTTGCTCCTTTTTCTGTTAAGAGTAAAGATAATAGCTTTTGCATGGGATCTTAACTCATCCTTGATGTCTGGATATAGCTAGGAACATGAGACAAAGGTTTGTAGAGCAAGCTGCACTGTGCTGCAGTTTGTTTTTTCCAGTTGCTTGTTGTGACTGCCAGACTAAGGGACTATTCTGTAAGTGAGTGTAGACTGGAAGAGACCTCTATTTTCCAGTTCCTTTTGTTGTAATGTAGCATGCTTTAAATAATCCTATTAATGAATTTGTTACTCTTTCTTGAAAGCTGTTATGGTTGTGCTTCCTTTGGAAAGACTACTTTGAAGCACTAGTCCTTGGGTAGATGGAAAACATGTGAAAAATGCTCAGGCTTCAGCAATCCTCGTCCTGTTTCACTACAGATTGTAATTAAATCAATAGGCAATTGGGAGTTGGCTTGTTGCACCAGAAAGGTCACAAGCACATTCACATTCACCTGATCTTGTTTAGAGCTTGTTGGTTTATTCCCATAATCCCCCAGGAAAAGCAATCAAGATTCCTTTTCCAAATGGGATGGCAATTGTGGGTTCGTCATGTGTTTAGCAGGCATCATAGGGTAGACCAAAATGGTAGAGGTGAAGCAATTAGGGTTTTAAAGTGACTTTTAAGGTAGGGAGGAAACTGAGCTCAATTAGGTTAATTTTAAGGGCATTGCCTTTCCCCCCCTAGAAGTGCTGGGGGATTTGGCGTAGGGATTGTGAGACTTGGCTCATTTCAGAAAGCTTGATGATACTACTGAGGATTTAGGAACAAAGGAGGATAAAAATAGGTTGTGCTTAACATCAGTTACCATTACTCCTCTCATCAAAGTAATTGCCTTGGATACAAAGTTCAAAATTTCTGTCATACAGAGAGAGAGGTCTGATCTTGTAATTCCAGTTAGGCAACAAAATGATGTTTAGGTGTTAAAGCAAGTGCAACTGTCCTTTAGAACAGGGACCAAAGCCTCTAATGCTGAGAATTTGAAAAGTAGGATAGCGTGGACTATGGATTACAGTTTTTGGACTTCAAGACTCTCTCTTTGGTTTGTTAATACAATAAATTTTCATTCCTTATTTCGTACAGGGCACTCATATTTCCTTTTCTGATCCGTGAAGGAAAACCAACACCATTTGTCACTTTTGTGTTAGCACTTCTGTTCTGTGTTTTCAATGGATACTTGCAGGGCCGAAGCTTAAGCAACTATGCAACTTACCCTCCGGGCTGGTTGAAAGATCCACGCTTCATTACAGGTGAGTCAAATAATGTTATGAAAACTTAAGGTGTAATTTTCCTTTGTCTTCACAGCTTTTAATTGTAATTTTATTGTATCTTCAATGCCATTTTGTAAGTATTCTCATAGGTATTTCTCTTATTGGTGTATCTGGAAGCCTTTAACTTTTTTTTACTTTAGAACTGTGAACTGACATTTCTTTCCACAGTATCAGTGCTGGGTGAACTGACTGTCATCTTTACTCTTTAACACCAAAAGAAATATTGTTATGTATTTTTTCAATGTAGAAACTTGAAGCCTCACATGGAACCAGCAGCATGCATGTTTAGAACAAACAAAGTAGTTTTTCTATGTAACATGTAGATCAAACTGAAGTAAACAAACTCGTGGAGTAAAAATCTAGCGAGGGTGATTGCTAACTACCGGGATACTACTGCTAACGCCAGAAGACCTTGGTATCAGGATATTTACAAGGTGATACACACACACACGCGCGCGCGCGCGCCCTTGTAATAGGGGTGAGCTTTGTCAAAGGACGAAACTGGCCTACAAGGAACCGGGTGGAGGGATTGATCATTCACTCCCAATCTGGAAGGGAGGTTACATTTATTTATAGTTGAAGTCATGGATATGATGAAAAGGCTAAGATGCCTAGTGACAAAGTACTGTCACCATATTTTTTTGTTTCCTAAGCATCTACTTTTGTTGACCATCAAAATCATAGTATCATTTTCTAATGAAATCTTTACCGAAAGATCTCTTTCATCTGAAGATAAATCAGAATATTTTGCCTTATCAGTCAAAGGTGGAGAACTGGGCTGTGTAGATCCTTGATCTGAAGAAGTACCCTTCTTGTTTTTATTCTGTAGCCAGAGCAAGTTAGTGTTTCTCCAGGATTTCTCAAACCTTTTATAACAAGAAAAAGAAGGTTTTGTCCTTATTACAGTGTTATTGTGGATAACAGTGGAGGACCCCTGTGCTAAATGCTATCATGACTATAAGACTGAAGAAACTTAAATCAAAGGAGGTTCTCTTGCCAAGATTAGGAGGCAGTACTGCTTGTGCACTAAAAATGGAGAAATTGAGGTACAAGGGAATGACTTCAGTGGGTGCTAGGCACTTGGATATACTTGAAATTTTCTTGGTAGTTTCAAATTTCCAGTCTCCTTAAACTGGGATCCAGCAAAAAAAATGGTTAAAAGATCTGTTCATCAAAACCGTTGAAGGCTCTGATGCCTAGTTTAGTACATTAATCAAAAGATATCTCAATACAGTGCTGTGAACAAATTATGATTAAGAAGCCATGAATCAATTCTTCTTTACTGAAAGATCTTTTAAAAAAAATCAAATTAATAAGACTCTTATTCATATTTCCTTGGTTTATTTTTTTTGAGTTTATCAAGGATTTCTGAAAGATGCAAATGTATAAATGATAATAGTTAGGTTCCTCTGACTTCAGTTATGAATACTTCGGTGTATGAATTAGTTTGATTTGTATTTGTGGGGTTTTTATTATGGTTTTATTTTGATTGTTTGCTTTTTGTGCAGGTAATACCAGTCTGGAATATATGCTTATATATATTTCTAGTACTGCTAAACATAAATGAAGTGTTGCTTTTGTGATTATTATAATTCAAACTATTGCTTTAAAAAGCAATCCTAACCCTAAGTTATCCTAAAAACTAAGAAAACCAAGATTCCTGGTACACATAGCAACCATTTTCATGGTATGACTACTGCTGACTTTTTTGAGAGTGTTAGTACAACAAATCTTTTTATAAAATTTGGCATGGCTGTGAAACAACCAAACTGCAGACTTGTTTTTTATTTTATTCCTGTAACTAGAGTACCTTTTGGGATTTTTTTTAATGTTGTTTTGTAGTACACGTCAACATAATTGGATCTTAGCAATTTATAATTGCTATTTGGTATTCATCCTAGCTGGGTGCCTCCAAATATCTGCAGTTTATGCTTGTGGCTTTGGTCAACTCAAATGCCAAAGTGGCTGTACTCCCTGAACAACTGGACTATTATGTTCTAGTTTTTCCAAAACATCTGGCAGTGTCTTTAAGCCTCCTTTTAAAATTACTAGAAAAAGTTACTAGAATATTAACAAACAACAACAGCAAGAAAGCTTATTTGCTGAGGGCTAGCAAGATGTTTCTTAAGCTGTGTGGAGTTACATGTGGAAGATAAATGAGAGAGTGTCTAAAAGTAGCAGCCAACCATGGTTCAACAGCCAGAAGCTGAAATGAGATAAATTTGCAGTGAAGACAGCAATTTGGAAAAGTCAGGCTGATTAACCGTCATGGCGAGAGGTTTCAAACAACTGCTATGTTCTGTCTGGAGCCTTATTACAGTTTGATTGTTTTCAGGCATTTAGGAGTTAACTCTGGAAATGTAATAGCTTATATCTACACCAGCAATTGATTTGGATCAGGAATGTAACTTTGATGTGATTCCCTCATGGTTTCTCTGGACTGTGTGTTGGTTTGGTTCAGAGCAGTGAACACAGCTGTTTTCAGAGGAAATGGGAATGTTCTGCTTCAAATGCAGCACCATGAGTTTGCAAACCTATGTGGGAACAACTTCACAGTCTTTCAGCATGTACCTTACACGTGTGCCAACAAACAGCTTGTGAACTTACCAAGAGAGCCCATGATACCCTGAAGCAGTGAATGCTGCAAAAAGGGACACATACACCTGTGTGCTTCACCCTGGTGTTCTTTCCTAATCTGTCTGTGCTTCTAGTTGGAAACCCCTTCCTTTCTTTGCTTGCTTTAGCTTCTTCAAACTCTTTGCAATATACCATGTGTCTTTTCTTACTCCTTTAAACCCCATTCAGCTACCTACTTCGAATGTTGATGGCTAACCCTTCTGTGCATTAAAAACTTTCCTCAGTAGCAGTTCTACAAAGCAGAGCAGCACCTGTAACTCAGAAGGTTCAGGTGACTGAACCTCATCTGTTGCATGAAGCTTTTTGTCTGACAGTCAGGCAAGCAAGCACATGTGCCACCTCTGCTCTTTTCACAGAACAGACACGAAGAGCGCATGTGCATTGTCCATATCTGGGTATGATCTCGAGCGCGTGCGCATTGTCCATATCTGGGTATGATCACGTAGTCGAGGGATGTCTAGATATTATCTCATAGTCCGGGGATGTAGATTAGCCTGTATCTCTCCTAGTATCTACAGACATCTGTATATTCTAGATTATCATGTGCATTGTTGGAAAGTAACCACAGGGTCTGAGATAAGGCGCTGGTTCACCTGAAATGTTTATTTGATGTTCTCAGTGCAGCTGTAGAAACTGGCCTCCTGATGTGTCTGCACAGCATCTTCCACTGCATATTCTTGAAACTTGGAGAGGGAAGGTGAGCCAGATAGCAGCTACCCTCCTGTCACTCTGGAATAGCCTGCAGCACAACAGTAGGTCTTTTTGTGTGAAATTCTACATGGGCAAGCACACAATGCTCTTCTGTTGCACCAGGTTGTCTGCTAGTGTAGACCTAGTTACCGTCCTCCTTACGCAAATGTTCACCTAGTACGTGCACAAGCCTTCACCTCCAGGTTTATCCTGATGAAGGAAAAAGCCTCTTAATAGTCTCTTGAGGTCATCCGTGTTGTGTGGTGTATCCTGTGGATCTGAAAATCTGATGTAACATGCAGTGGCTCCCTTCCTGTTTATATGTCCATGTTTCCCTGTGCTGGTAGCCAAGTCATGCGAATTGTGGGGCAGAACCAGCTCTTGGTTTTGTAGAGTCCTAGGACTCTGCTGTGCTGGGAATCTGAGGATTAGGACAGAGGAGGAGCGCCAACCCTGACAGCTCAAGAAGCATTTGGACAATACTCTCAGGCACATGGGGATGGTCCTGTGCAGGGCTGAGATTTGAGCTTGATGATCCTTGTGGGTCCCTTCCAACTTGGCATGTTCAGTGATTGCCCACGGAGTATGGGTGCAGGGAACATGGTTATGCAGTGCCTTAGAGGAAAGGGGGCCTTGAAATTGAAGAGGTGTTTTGTGAAAATAGCCTACATTTGTTGGTTTGTTGTCCACAAAGAGATGTGATTGTTTCCTTCTGCCATTTTGCAGTTTTCAAGTCAGAGAGGTAAAAATGTGCAGGATCAAACTCATCTTCTGTAGTAATTTGACATTTTTAAAGCAAGCTCCGGCCTTTCTACATTATCGGAAGAGTTCATATACTAATTTACAAGCAGATGCACAGGAAACATTCACTAAAATTATAGTATATCTAATATATAATAAATCATAACATTGTAGATATAAAGTATAAACTATAGTATATCTAATAATAAAATATAGAATATCTAATCTATGTCATGATGTATTTACATTGATTATATAGTTGATAAGTAAAATTTTACTTCAAAAGGCACTTTATGTATAGCATCTGCACACCTTGATTGCTAATAGAAACTTGCTGTGCTGTATAAAGAAAAGGTTAACAAACATGCTTATTCACAGGACTAAATTCTGCTATTAGTTTTACAGTGTAAGCAGACAGTAACAAGTTAAACAACTTTTTTTATTTGTATGGGCAAATAATGGAGAGAGCTTTCACGCAGACACCTCAGTTTTTTTACAGAGCAGTCATTTCCTCCCAATACATGTGGAAGCAGACCGCTAGGCCCTTTAAGCTCACAAGGGCTTGAGAGAAGAAAACTGCCTAACAGCTTGTAAGTGGACCTTGCTTCTCAGACATCTGTAGCTTCACTGGGAAAGGTAGCTTAAGTCTTGGTGGAGTGTGCTCTGACAACCTACCAGTCTTGCAATGTGGCCTTATACACTTGGACATACAGTTAGTGCTTTTGCTGAGATGATCACGCTCCTTAATTTCTCTATATTGAAAAAGAGCCACCTGAAAGACTGAAGTTATGGGTGCAAAAAGGCAAAGGTTTCTTTATCTGGCACGTGAAGTGACTTTGTCCTAGAAAATACTGGCGTATTCTTGGTAAGTAAAACTGGTAACTTTGGAGGTGGCTTCAAAACAACACTGGATCTATCTTCAAACCCCAAATCTGCTCCTAGTAGCAAGGAAGGCTGCCTTCAAAGGAAGATACCATAGATAACATATTGCCAAAGGGTGAAAATAAGGAATTTCAATCCTAAATTCCTTTTGATTTATCCCATAGTTATGGCAACAAGACATAAGGATGCCGAATGTGACAACAGTCTCAGTTTCTATGAAAGCCTGGTGTAAATGGCTAAACCATTTTGCTGAATGACACAAGTAAATGGTACATTAACTCCTTCATGATTTTATTCCTTTTGTTGCACAAAATTCTGTTGCGGAAATTCTGGTATGTTATCAGCAAAAATAGAAAAGGAGAGTGGGGCTAAAATGTGTCCCTTTGGGAAGAATGAGAATGGCTGTTTCTTTCAGTGTTTAAAGTGTTAGCATATTTGTTTTTCTATGTGGATGTTAGGGAATTACACACATTACATCTGCATATGTGCCTGTGCATACATTTATATAAGCCTAGAAACATAAGAATAAGCTTCATACTTGTGGTACTATTTCCTGTCTAGGGAGCTCTCGATTACTGTGAGCTCTGCTGACTGAAAAGCTCAGTCTGTCACCAGAGTTGTTTATACTGCTTACATTACTACTGCTTTAAGCTGATATGACTAACATGTTATACTTGACTGTAGTTTTTTTGAAAGGGTGCTTTCACTCAGTGTACTAAAGATATACTTTTAATATTTCTTTTCAGGTTTTATAGGGTGGTTGCTTGGCATGGCAATTAATATTCATTCTGATCATATTCTCAGAAATCTGAGAAAACCAGGGGAAACTGGTTACAAGATACCAAGAGGTAAGTAAAAAAGGGTACAGAGATTAAAATGGCAAAAGTAGTATCTTTCATATGAGAAGTGGTAAAGAAAGCTGGGACTGGAGAAGAGGCTCATTTTATTTTTTTCCTCTTAAGCCAAATATTGTAAGGAGTCTGTTTCATGATATCGCTTGGCCTGTGCAACTCTTTGGACTTCTTAAACCAACTTTGGCTGTATTTTTAAAAAGGGATAAAAATGTCACAGCATTCCACAACTTTTCTGAGAATCTGCAGGAGGGTGGAGAAAGAAGACCTAAATTACCAACCCAGTGTTGAGGCAGGAGGGGAATGCAGAAAGTACTCAATGGCTGGCCCATCTAACGTCCCATGTGTGAAGAGAGAGGTACCTTAGGTAATCAGAGAGCAGCAACTACTGTGGAAAGGGAGACACAGTAAAAGGAGGACAGAAATCCAAACAAAGTAGGGCACTATGAATTCTGGCCTTCATCGGAAAATGGAGAATATGAAAGATTTTTCTTATGGAGCCTATTGAAGTGTTAAAGTTTATTGATGCTTTTGGAAACATTAGACTCTTTCAGATACATTACAGTCACTGAGAGAAGAAAAATAATACTATCTCTGAATTTTGTTTCTCTGGGTTTTTTTGTTAGTTGTTGCTTTTTCTTGGTTGTTAAGGTTTTTTTTAATATGACTGGAAGAATTAAGATATATAAGGCAGTAGACTGTTTTTCACTCAGAAGATAACTTATAATTTTAATAGATGTAAATCCAAGTGCTCATGTAAAAAAAGAATATGAACATACTGTACTGTGTTCAGTGCACAAAAAAAGTTCTGAAGTAAATAAGATGTCATTTGCTGTGAGATCAGGGGGAGCTGGTCTTTTTGATGTTGCTTATCCAGTTTAAGTGCTAAAAATTCACCCCTCTTTTGTTAAGAGGGTAGAGCAATTAAAGCAAAGTCAAAACATGTCCTTTATTACAGTTGCCAAATACTTGTTTGTTTAGTTCCACTGGTAAAACGCATACTGAGATGTTATCGATTTGTATGCTGACTTTGGAATTGGGGTGAAAGTTCTTATTTTATAAATGCCTGACATGTGAGTACCAATTGTTTATCCATAATTGTCTGTACAACAGATTTAATGCAGACTGACAGTTACTTTTTTCACTGAGTATCAGAGCTGAAGCAGTAGACCTCATGAGGAATGGGAACAAAAGGGCAACACATTTTAAGCTAGAGAATAAATTTGGGACATTACTTCATAATAATAATAATATTGTTCATAATTAACTTAATTTCTGAAGTATTTAAAGAAATGAAACATTGTAGGCTAACTAACCCTGTGAGTATTTTCTGAGACTCAAGGGGAGCATGTCCTCTATATTTACATATTAAAAAAAAATTTTACGATCAAAGAGACAGTTTGATGTCATTGTTAAGTAACTATTTACAAAGGCACGTACTTGCTTCTGATACTAGTAAATCTGCTTTTCTTTCATTATTTAAAGAGGAAAAATGGACCTGGAGAAGGTCTGTCCTAGAAAGAGGCCTGAAGTGATCCTTCATAGCACAGCTTGAACTGAAAAACACTGCTTCCACTGCCTTTAAAATTATATAGAGACATTGGTGATGTAGCTCTTATTTGATGTACAGTAAAAGATAGCACTGGACATATTGATTAAGGTGCTTTTGAAATAACTCTGTCCTGCTTTCAGGAGGAATGTTTGAGTATGTCAGTGGAGCCAACTTTTTTGGAGAGATCCTGGAGTGGTTTGGGTTTGCCCTTGCCTGTGACACCACTGAAAGCCTTGCATTTGCATTGTGTACTCTTTTCATCTTGGGTTCAAGGGCAAGGCAACACCATCAGTAAGTGGTTTTTGTTTTATAATTTCTGTTGTCTCTGCCACACTGCATTTACATTTCACGAATTATGCCTCATCCCATAGCAATGTTGCAGAGCAAGTCTTGTGAAAGAGACTGCTGCTGTAGGGGAGAATATGATAGAGAATACTCTGAGAAGAATAAGCACTGCAGAATTTCAGCAGAATAGTACTGAGCATAAACACACACGATGTACAATGAGGTGGTCAAAATAATGTTTAAATGAAGGTAGTTCATCCTGAATCTGTAAAAATTATGGACAAGTTTGGCAGTATTGTCTTAAATAATCACATACTCTATTTTCCCTTCCTGCTTGAACTGGTTTCTACATTATTAAAATTTTGAAAATCACTCTAAAGTAGTCTTTAATAGGCATGTTTTATAGCCAAGTCTCTATCATATTGCCTATGATCAAGTGAATGGACAATATGAAAACAGTTCTAGTACATAATAGTAAAGTCTCTACTCTAAACAGTTTGACTGCTAATGTACTGTATTCATAATGTAGCTTTCTTGTTAAAGGACCATAGTTTGTGGAGAGTAGTCTCTTGATTCTCTTTAAGGAATAGCATGTTTAAAGGAATTTGAACATGTTAATCTTATTTTGGTTATTCTCAGCTTCCTGCTTTGGTTCTCATGCTAAAACTTAGTGGAATAACAGGAAATAAGCCTGAATATATGGAGAGAAATAGGTTGAAAAAATGCCATTGCTGACTATCTGTGGGGGCAGCCATGGGTACATCTAGTGGAGTCCTGAAAATTTCCACAAACGGGTTTTCCTGCACCTTGTCTGTAGGGTGTTCTAGGTCTGTATTACCCTCCCAATTAACAAAGTTTTTTGTACTGTCCAACCTGAACCTTCCTGACCTGTCACCTATTGACCATCATTTCTTATTTTATCACCTGCTATTAGTGAGTAGAGTTGCAGAGTATCTTGGGTGTGACCTACAACTGCCCTTTTGCCCAGGGCCTCATCCAGTTGAGTTCTGAGTGTCTTCAAGGGTGGAGGCTTCAGCACATCTCTGGTAAAGTGCTGAAACAGGATTTTCCTTATTCTCATGGGGAAGAGGGTTTTTCCTTATGACCACTTGGAATATTCCATGTTGCAACCTTTATCTCCTGGTGTGTGCCTCCAGGAAAGGTATGGCTTTGCCTTCTCTTTAATATCACAATAGGTGATGGAAGAATGCAATTAGATGTGCCTCCTTGCTTCTTTTCTAGGCTGAACAAACCTAGTGCTCTTCATGTCTCTTATATGTTCCAGCTATGAGTTGTCTTACTGACCATCTGCTGGATTTTTCTCCACTTTGTGGATATCGTTGTTGCACAGGAAGCCAACAACTGGAGGCAGTAATGCAGATGCATGCTCTCAGCTGCTAAATGGTGCACAGAATAAGCCCTTCCTTTGACTTAGTGGCTCTGTACTTTTTAAGGCAGGCCAATGTGCACTTGGCCTTCATCATTGCAGGGATGCATTATTGACTCATCCTTCACTTGTCACCAGGATGTCCATGTCCCTTTGTGCACAACTGCTATCTAGCCAGGCAGTCTCCACCCTGCACTTTTGCTTGGGGCCACTGCATTCCAGCTGCAAGAGTTGGCATTTCAGTTATAACTTTGCTCCGTTGTCTTAAGTAATTCCCCTTCCATGACCTGTAGGCAGCACCTGTAGGTAGCAGTAACAGGGCCCCTTAGTCTCCTCCTTGCCAGGCTAAGCAATGCCAGGTTCCTCGGTGTGTCTTTATATATTATGCTCTTCAGGTTCAAATTCCATTGTTCGTTTCCATCAATCCTAAGCCTCGGTGGCACTCTTTCAGACCATTAGGAAAAGCTAAATGTTGTTAAAGGAAGTAATTTGCACTAATGGAAAAATGCATAAAAACAAAAGAGGGATACAAGAAGAAAACCCCAAACAAATAAAAATAACAAATCCATGTAAGTGAAGAAACATTTTACTGCAGTCTGTTTAGTTTAAAAAACTTAGAATAAATTACTGAAACGGGAAAATAGTGTAATGATGGTATTCCACAGCTGCAGGTTATTGTGCATTGCATGTTTTGTCCTCTGCTTATTCCAGCTTTGATCTTGCAGTTAGCTATTGATAACATGAATATCTGCACCTTTGAGAAGCCCGGGTGAAGTTAATTCTTTTATTGCAGAGGAGCGGAAGAATAAGTATTTGAAAATGAGAGTAAATGCGTTTGTTATCCAAGGCAGAAAGACAAATAATAACATTTAATAGTGCTATGTATTTCTTCTTTGTTAATTGTCTGGATTTGAAAATACTGATGTCTTTGAAAGGTATTAGCAGTAAGGCTAGTGTAACGTTTGTCATGTTCTGTTTGATTATCCAAATCCTTTGGAACTGAAGATGTTTCTATGCAGAGTCATTACTATGTGAAGTAACCCGTGCTTCTGTGTGAAGTCATTAGGCAATTACATGGTTTTAGTTTAATTTCTTCCCCCTCTAGTTCTGAAATGCAAATACTCAGGATGCATAACAACATACATTTTTAAAGAACAGGTTATTCCTTCCCTGACTGCTCTCACCACATCTGTAGGTTTGATTTCCCATTGCTGGCAGAACAACGTAGTTTTTTTGGAGTTGATGATTAGATGTTGTTAAGACGAGTGTAGTAAATGCCATTTTTGTATCCAGAGTAGTTCTAAAGGCATATTTTTTGTTTGTAGACAGAAAATATATGGATTAAATTGAACACATTGTACAATCACTTAATGTCCTCAACAGCATTTGGAAGACTCTATACTCATCAGATTTCTGTCTTTGTTTTACAGATGGTACCTTGAGAAATTTGAAGACTACCCAAAGGACAGAAAAATTGTGATACCATTTTTGTACTGAGCTGTGCTTTTAACACTGTCTGAGATGGATGCTTTTAGTAACAGCTAACATTTTACAGGTGGTGGCAAGTTAAAAACATACTGTCATCCTCACTGTGACAAAGCCTTTCCATCGATGCTGCTATTACTTACTTCTTTTTCCTCTTAATGGTAACCAAGAATCTGATGGACATGGTGAATAGGAACAGAAATGCTTTTCCAGCAGTGAAGCACCTTCATGAACACCTTAGGCAGTGAGTCTGACTGCCTGTGCAGGCTTCTGCTGTTTCCACTCAATCTAGTCACGCTGTCATGAGGATTGCGCCATGAGCCCAGTCACTCTCACTGCAGTCTGGATGGTGTGTTCTGCCTATTGTTTGCCAGCATATGCAAATAGGGTCGATTCTACTTTTTCTTCCTTGCCTTTCTAATCCTTTCTTCCCTCCACCTGCATTTTCAGGAGAGCTGATGATGCAGACCAAGGAATTAAATGAATATAGTTGCTGTTAGGTGAGAGGCAATGTTCCTCCTCTTTGCACTCTTTCATATGGATATTGTATAGATAATTCTATACAGGATACTGTATAGATAATATTTAATGCTATTTACATAAAAGTTGTAGGGTTATCTTCCCCAAATAATAGATTAATATTGTCATCTACCTCTTAAAATTGATAGCTATCTCAATATGCAATATGTGTCTTCTCACTCTAAACTGTTTTTGGAAGGCATTCTTTACTTAGGATACTTAGGCCAGTCTAGCACTATTAAAAAATGTGTAATATTTTCTAACTCACTTTATAAAAAAACCTTGAGATTTTTACAAAATTTTCTTATTATGTTGTTTTAAAAAATCAAGTGTTTTTCTTCTTCTGTTGATAACATTCTAGATGATTTTATATTCTGGAATATTTTGTGTTGCATGTCATGTTAATGTCAGTGCTCATACTCCAACATTTTACTCATTAAGGACTTCAGAATGCTTTCAAGAACATGATGCAATTCCAAGCATACAGACTTCCAAGTTTCAGGCACATCTGTGTGCTTTGCATGATTGTGATAATAAAGAATTTTTTAGAATTCTTAAGAAAAAAACCTCAACAGAAACTAATTTAAAAAAAAATCCAACAAAAAAGAAAACAAAATAACAACCAAATTATAGCAATTAAAAAAAAAAACACCCAAAAAAACCCTAACAAAACAAACAGATGAACAACACAGAAAAAAAACTTCCACAAAATCAAAAAATTCTGCTGCTAATGTAATGTGGAAATAAATGAAATCAGACTTTTGACATGTGTCTTCTGATCTCTTTGCTCTTTATGTTGGATTATGTTCTTCAAAGCAAGTTGGTATTAGAATTTTGCCAGATACTGCAATACCATACTGGAAAACTCAGTAAGATTTGTCTAAAGCTCAAAATTCTTTCTTTGCTGTTGAATTACACTGCTGTAGTAATCAAGGTAATGTATCGGATGAAATTTACCTTTAAAATTTTAGAGATCAGTTTTCTAACTTACCTAGAGCTGAGCCCTTGGACTGCCAGTTGCTCCTTGTAATGTTGACTGGGAGGATGATTGTCCTGCTCTCAGCCAGTATGCAAAAAGTCCATCTTTGGGAGAACACAGGAATACCTTGGTGTCAGTGTCATTGCTTGATTCTCAAATTGTTTAATAATTCCTTTAGTGTTTACATGTTTCTTCAGTGTTTTACAGGAAGTTTGAGGCTTTCCCTGTTGTTTTTGTTATCACACTATAATTTAACACTTTGATCATAGCTGTTTTGATGAACACTCAGTCATGATGTTCCCTGGACAGAGAAAGGATAGTGAGGAGGATGATTTACTCCTCAATGCTAAAATGGAGTTAGGGGACAATAAAAATTCAATAGGATCACTTAAAGCATATTCTTAAGAGAATTTTAGAAACCTAGTCTTATATATCAGCATATTTCTAAACACTGTCACATCGCTGTAGCAGTTTTTTTAAATTTTGCTGTGTAAATCATCTAGCTATCAAAGTCTGTTTTAGTTGAAAAAAAGACAAAGAGCACTATCTACTCAAAGTGTTTAATTACTTCCATAGTTTATAGTGAATTAGTATCTTGTACCTTCAGGGATATTTGTTAAAAAACCACTAACGGGACAACCAACCATCACTAATGGACAACCAACCAACCTCAAACAATCTGGCTGCAGCACTTTAGTCTCTAATATATTTTTTTTTTTCCTTTTATGAAAAGGCAAAGCTTCTTTTAGTAGTAAACAGCAAGAGAAAGGTCTCTGTGTTCAGTATGTCTCCTCCTAATCAAACTCTCTAGCTCTCTATGGTCAGTAGTCTTTTATCATAGTTCACAGAAAATTTGTACTGATGCCTCAGTTTTGTTCTGCTGCTATGCTGCTAAATACTTCTCTGGGCTAAAAGTTCAGCTCCTTTGCTCACATAATATTAATTTATGATTTGCCTTTAGTGGGACGGGGTTCTGAAATGTGATGGTCAGACAGCTTATCCTTTTTCCCTCTCTTCTTACAGAAAAGGAAAAGCTAAGGTCTATGGGATGTGAATGTCAGTGTGTTTAGAAATTCTAGCCAATTGGATTAACAACAACAAAATCAAACCAGAATGTTTCATTCTTTGTGTGATTATATTTATTATTATCACCATACTTCTAGAACCTTCCATAAGTAAAGTGCAGATTTTATTTGAGGCAGTTTATTAGAGCACAATCTTACAAGGAGCAGCTGAGGAAGCTGGTGTTGTTTAGCCTGGAGAAAAGGAGGTTAGGGGGAATCTTAACGCTCTCTGCAACTATGTGAATAGAGGTTGTAGCAAGGTGGGGATGTTGGGATCTTCTCCCAGATAACAAGTAACAGAATGAGATGAAATGACCTCATATTGTGCTGGGGAAGTTTAGATTGGATATTAGGAAAAATTTCCTCACTCAAATGGAAGCGTTGGAACAGGCTATTCAGGGAAGTGGTGGAGTCACCATCTCTGGAGATACTTAAAATATATGCAGTTGTGGCAATTTAGGGATATGATTTAGTAGTGGACTTGGCAGTGCTGGGTTAGAGGCTGGACTGAGTGATCTTAGGGTTCTTTTCCAACTGAAATGACTCTGTGATTCTTGCATTTCAAGACCCAGGTACATTGGCAAATGATCAACTTGGTCAAATGCTGGAACTGCCTTTTGTTTAAACAATATCCCACTTATTTGTCATACTTCACTTGTGATCCCTTTTTAGCAGCTTTGACAGAATTTTTCTGTTGGAAAATATCTAATACTGAAAAATTTTTCTTAAGAATATGTAGTGTGAAAATAAACTCTGTTCAGCCCATTCCAGAGGGAGAAAACACACATGCTTGCTATTGGGTTATAATATCTGTAGTGACTTTTTTTTTTTGTAGAGATACTTCTAGTCAGATTGCCTACATCTTTCCCTAAAATTCCCTACTAATAAAATATGATTTGTGGTGTCTTGCTTGAATACTTTTTTTTTTCTTGTTAGTAATCCTTGCTTTAACTTGTGGAGGTTGATCAAGGCTTTTGTACCAGCAGTTTCATTATCCCAGTTGAGATCTTGGGGACTGTAATAATAAGGTTGGATTAGAATTCCCTAGATGCGTATGTGAACTATACAAGACGCACCCAAAGCAATTAATAAACGTTACAAAATAAATTTGTCTAGTCATACATTCATTATTACCTAAAGGAGAGTAGGTAGCTGAGATGTTCTACACTTGAAGTTAGAGCAAAGATTAAGAGAAGCAGAGGATACTTGTTTGGGTTCTTCTCCTGCTTCTAGGTCATTCTTAAAAGAGCTGTAGCACCTGCTGTTTTAACTATTTAATTGTGGTTCAGCACAATATTATCTTTCTGTGGAGTGAAGATAATGCACGAATGACTTGTCCATATAAACTTGTATTCTACCACTGGTCACAAAATCCCGAGTGCCTACCACAGAGTTTTTATAGCCTGTTTGTGAAACAGCTCTAATAGGCACCTGTTTGCGATTGAAATATATTAGTAATTTTGGTATAAGACTGTCCCAGCCTGTTCTATGCTATTAAGTTTTACCAATAATAGTTGCAGTTGTTGGGGAAGCCTTTCAGATGTACATCAGTCTTATGAAGACAGCAGACTGCTGGGTAAAATTGCACCACTTTTTGCAGTGATGCAACATTTATCATCATCCCTGTGCCCCTGCAAAAAATTGTGGAAATTAGTGTTGCAAGACAACTAAGGGGTAAAGCCTAAAACAAGGTTTGCATCTGAGAGAGTTGCGCAACTGAAGGTTGCTCGTATACTCGTATGCTTAAAATAACATTTTGTACATCCCTTGCTTTGTTTACCATGTTTGCTTAAAACTCAAAGCTGATACATGATGCTTTGTTGTGTACAAGTGGATAGTGGAAGCAGTAGGTTATTTGTTTGCAGGGATGAAGGAAAACCTATGTAACAATTGATACATTTGGTGTAATGTTTCTCTGAAGACGATGCATTACCAACGTGCTAGCTTCTCAGTGGTGTTGTTTGTCCCTACTCCCTAATATTTGCAGCCTCTTGTTTTGGAAATACCTGTCCAGTTTCTGAGAGAATACAAGTGGCTGGATCTGAAGAGAGAGCACTAGCGAAGCCACATGTTCCAGCTGCTCTGGGTGGGTGCACTCCATTTCTCTTGAGCTATTGAAAGAGGAAACTACTGCAAACTTAGTTATAAACTTCTGCCAGAAAAGAAAGAGCCGTGTGATCTGTGAACCAGGGTTCAAACATTGATCAGCACTGTCAAGACTAAAGGCCAGTCAAACGTTAGCTAGGAAAACCTACCCCAGGTACCTGCTATTATTGTGTCCTGCTGTTTGCTGCATTGGTTAGGGATTAAATCTTTTTAATCTATGTCAGTGTATTGGTGAACAGTCCAAGAGGCTTCTAGCTATGCCCCTTGCTTCATGTGTTGTGTTTGCTGGAGGAGACCAACCAGATGCCGTGCAAAGCCAGGGTTCTGCCAATGTGCAAGGAAACCCTGTGACAAAGCAGCCCAGTGCAATAGCGCAGATTCAGAATTTTTATGTTTTGTGAGGGCAAATATGTTTCCTCTTTCATTCCCTGCCTGT